ATACCAGGGTCAGGTCCTAGGCGGTGGGACTCCGTGGGGCAATGCCTGGGGCCCTCAGAGACCAGGGGACAAGGCAACGATTCCATGATTTGCTAGAACGGTTCGCAGAACTCAGGGGAACACTTGACGTACGTTTGTCAGTTGATTATAAAGGAAATCCTGAAGGCTACGGATTAACAGCCAGATGAAGGGGAGAGCAGGGCGGGGTCTGACAGGGCCCCGAGTTCAGAAGCTTGCGTCCCCGTCGAGTCTGGGGGGGCGCCACCCTCCTGGCAGGTGGATGTGTGTGTTCACCAACCTGGAAGTTCTCCGGACCCTGTGGTTTAGGGACTTTTATGGAGCCTTCGTCACGTAGGTTAACTGAACACTTGCTCAGTCTCCAGCCCCTCTCGCCCACCTGGAGGATGGGGCGGGGCTGAAAGTTCCATGCTTCTAATCACGGCTTGGTCTTTCCAGTGACGGGCTCCCATCCAGAAGCCACCTGGGAGCCCGAGAAGAGTCACTCATTAGAACAAAGGATGCTCCTGTCGCCCAGGAAATTCCAAGCGTCTCAGGAGCCCTGCGTGAGAGACCGGGGGCAGAGACCAAATGTGTACTTCTTTTTCTTTTTTTTAAAATCACTTTATAGAGGTATGATTGACATGTAAAAAGCAGTACGTATGTAATGTATACAACTCAGTGAGTTTGGGGATACGAATGTACCTGTGAAACCATCACCAGCATGAGGGCCACAGACAAATCCACGCCTCCCAAAGTTTCCTCCATCCTTTTCTTACTATCATTACTACTACTATTCTTGTTGTTGTTGTTGTAAGAACACTTAACATAAGATGTACCCTGTTAGCAAATTTTAAGTATATGATACAGTATTGTTAGCAATGGACACTATTATACATTTCTTCTTATGTCGCAGATATCACGTTGTTTAACTATTTCTTTCTTGGCTTCTTGTCTACATTGTCATCAGAGGGTGACAGATACACTTTGTTTTGTTCACGTCTGCACCCCCAGGCTCTAGAACAGTGCCTGGCACACAGCAGGTGCTCGATCAGATTACTGAATGAGCGAGGACACGAGCTTCAGTTTTCTTTTCTAAAACATGGAGACGTCGTCTCTGCCCTGGGGTGCCAGCCTGGTTGGGAGGTCTTCCTCTGGCTGCACTCCCTCCATACTCCCTACTCCCAGCCTTCCCACTGTCACACCTACACCCTTTTGTCTTCAGCTGGATCATTTGCACCCCACCCCCCCCCAACTCCCCACTCAAGACAGGGAATAGGGGCCCTGCCCTGTTTATCCCACGAGTCTACGAGCCCAGCCCAGACAGGTGGCATGGGGCAGGGGAGCGGGAGGGGCGGGTGGAGGTTGGCCGAGAGGGGTCGACTCCTGAGCGCCTGCCCAGAGGATCAGGCTGGATTGGAAAATGCTCTGCAAACCCTGAAGGCAGCCCCTCCAAGGGCCGGTTACCGTGGCAGTTAATGTCATTTGAGCAGTTTGCAGAAAAGGCCCCAGCAGCCTGGCTTGTATAAATATTAATCACGGCGCCATTTCTGCTGCCCTGCTTAGGCCAGCACTCTGCAGGAACCTGAGCAATTAGCGGTCTGCCCGGCCAAACAGAAAATCACCGGCGACGGTGGCCTTTGGAGCTCTGTGGACAGGCCGGCTCCCTGAATCCCTGGGAGACCACGACCGTCCTGGTGACCTGTCCCTCCCCTCCCTCCCCTCTTCCCCCCACCCCGTGGGCTCAGACGGTTCCTGGAGGTGATGCAGCGAATGGCCAGCATCCCAGCTCCTCTCGTTTATTTACTCACCCCTTTGTGTGGAAGTATGATGCTATGCCACGTCTGGCTTGGGCATTGTGGGGGACACAAGGGTGAGCCAAAAGGGGCCTTGCCCTCAGGGAGTGCACTAGTGGGCCGGGCAGGCTTGTCCAGGAGAGGGGAGCCTGCCCACCCCACCAACTCACAATGCAACCAGCTCCTGGACAAAAGTGAAGAGCTGTGGTTGTTTGAACGATTATTTCTTTTCTTTTTTTGCTGAGGAAGATTCGTCCTGAGCTAACATCTGTGCCAATCTTCCTCTATTTTATATGTGGGATGCCGCCACAGCATGGCCACCGACAAGTGGTGGGTAGGTCCACACCCAGGAACTAGACCAGGATCCCTGAAGTGGAGCATGCTGAACTTAACTACCAGGCCACTGGAGCTGGCCCTCAATGATTCTCTCTTTACAGGCCCAATACTGCACATTGACATTCTGCTCCAGGAAACTCATTTCAGACCATTAAAATATCAAGGCTGAATGGCAGCAAATAGAATGCAAACATAGGTATTTACAAGCCAAGTTTGTGAAACCAAAAATTTCATGAAACTGCTAGCAGGGAGGGTGCTGGTGGGGAGCGGGGGGCATTTTTGGTGTGGGCTGGCCTGGCTGTAGCATCTTAAAATGTAAATACAGCAGCATTGGATTGTGGCTGTTATCATCTTTTCTTGAAAAATCTGGCTGCTAGTTTTGTTATTTCAAAATGATGCTCTTCAGTCTGGAGAACATCGGGGTGGGCTGTGTGAATACATCTGCCATCTTTGCATGCTGCACGATGGGGAGGAAGACCCAGGGTTATTGGCCCAAGCTGTGGGGAGGGTGGAGGCGCTGGGAAAGAGAGCCAGAGGGGCAGGTTTGAGAAGCAAAATTGGGAGTAACTTCCCAGCTTCCTTGCTGCCTCCCTGTTCCAGACACTGTGCCTCCTCCCCCTCTGAGGACCAGCCCTGCTTGGGTACATTGCCCACCATGGCTCCCCACCCTGAGATTCAAGGCCCCTTCAAGCTGGTTTTATACCATTATCAGCCTTATCCCCATTACTGCCGTCACCTCCAGGTTCCAGCCTGTCCTCCCACGCCCCCCAGCCCTCATGTACCCGCTGGCTGTGTACCTGCTTCTCCACATTCTATGCTCGATTGAGTCTTGCTTCCTCCAGGCAGCCCTCAGTGGTCTATTTGGCTTTACTTGCTGCCTAGGGAACCTCGTACAGACCTTAACATTGTGGAACACCTTCTTTTTCTTGGCTCTCTCCGTTCCTCGGCTCACTTACCTGCAGGGCAGTTGGCAGACTGTTGGCTGGGACAGCGGGTAGCCAGGCCCTGGGCTCTCCTCATCCAGCAGGCTAGCCAAGGCAGGGTTCAAAAGTCATTGAGAGAAAGCTGCAGGTCTCCCTGAGGCCTAGGCCCAGGCCTGGCCCAATGTCAGTCCCGCCAAACCCCCTTGTGGACGCAGGCCAGCCCAGAGTCAGATGTTGGGGGGCAGTCTCCACCACTGGATGGGATGACAGAGCTGCAGAGTCACAATGCAAAAGGAACTTGCACATAGGAATGGGAACATTTTCTGGCCCTTTCTGCATCTTCCACAAACAGCATGAATTGCCTGAGGGGCCTCCTAAGAGAAGACTGCATGGCGTGGTGTGGACTGTGTGAATCTGCCCGTCGTCCCCTGGCTGCCGAGCTCAGAGCAGCGGTGGCCAGGGCCAGCTTCGTGGGCATGTGACCGGCAAGGCTGCACAGGGCTGGTACCCAGAAGGGCCCCACACTTGGTTTAATGCCCTGCAGCCGCCATCTTGAAATTCTTCATAACTCAATGAGTCCCACATTTTCATTTTACATCAGGTCCCACAAATTAGGTAGCTGGACCTGATATTGGCTGTATTATCTGTCCAGCACGGAATGACCCCTGCTCTGGAGACCCTGAGGCTCCAGGGTCTTCCTGCCTGACAGAGAACCATCCAAGGCTGTTGTTAGGGGGCACCTCTGCAGCCCAAGGCTTCTTGGTCTTAAACCCTTGATGCTTGACCCAAGAATCTTCTGACTGGCATACCTGTCCCTGCCCCTGCTCCTGCCCCGGAGGCAGAGCTCCTGCCATTTAGGATGACCAGGCTCGAAGCTGGGGCCCAGAGCTTTGGGTTTAAGCTCACGCTAGCTGTCAACTATCACATAAGCCATTGACCTAATCAATCCCTTTCAGCATTCCTGCCTCATGGGTTCCAGCCACCAGGGCGGATCTCTTTTGCAGCCCGATCTGGACCCTTTGGAAGGGACCCTCGTGTGGAACCCGACGCTTCGCCCCCTATCATCACGCTTCTCTCCTCCTCACATATGTGCTCCAGGGCACGAGCTGCTCACTTGTCCCAGGTCCCTGCTCCTGGCACAGGGCCTCCCACATAGTTGGTGCCCCACAGCTGCGGAGGGGGCACCTTGCGGAGGGAAGCCAGTGGAATACGGACTCAGGCAGTCCTGGATGCCAGTCTTGGCTCTGCTGCCCACCAGCTACACGGCCTTGGGCAGGAAACCTCTCCAAGCCTCGGTTTCCTCACTTGTAAAAACAGGGTAACAGCAGCAGCTGCTTCATACAGCTGTTGAGGAGAGCAAGTGGGTTAACACACACGGAGAGCTCAGACGGCACAGAACACCCAGTAAGTGCTGTCTGCTGCTATCAGTTAATGAATGAATAAAACTACAACTGCATAGAGTTTTATTCTATAAAACGATATAGTTTATAACTATAAAGTTATAACTATATAAATTATACTATATAACTACATAAATGAATAAAACTATAACTGCGTATAATGAATGAATAAACTCTATCACCGTCCCTTGTCATCTTGACTGGGCTGGTCTTTCAGATACTATTCACTCATTCCCCGAATGCCCGCTGGGTGTTTACTGTGAGCCAGGCACGGTGCTAGGGGCACGGGATAAAAAGTTGAACAAGATAAACTTTGCTCTCAGAGGGTGGGGAAACTGATGGGTAAGTGAACGGAGCTTGTGTGATTTGCTACAGGTGTGGTGACGGGGAGCTCGGGAGGGGTCAAGGGCAGGAGGGGGTCCCGTCATCCTGCCTGGGGTGGTGCAGAAGGAGCAGGAGAAGGGAGGTGATGCTGGAGCTGAGCCTGGCAAAGATGAGCAGTCTCCTTTAGATAAAGCAAAGGGTGGATTCAGACACTTACGAGTTAATGTTTTTGTTCTTTTTTTTAATTATCATAATAGAAAATGACAAAAACAACAACAGTGCGAAGAGTCAGAGGGGCACAATTCCACAGCCACATTTTCACATCCATTAAGGTTAGATATTTTTAATCAAAAGAGCACACTGGAACCCTACTGTTAAGAAATAGCCTTTTCACTGTAGTAAAAGTTAGCGATCCCATCAGGAAACCAGGGGGCTTGAGTAGCAAAGAACTACAAGAATAGTTAAAATACCTTTTTATTAAGTAAACTACCTACATTTACAAGTTGATTATGAAAACATCATAAGACAGAAACGTTTCCGATTCTCTCGGCGGCGTGAACTGGTATCTGGAGGGCGGCTAGTTACGAGAATAAGGTTTCTGTAAAACGTTAAATAGTAGAAAGAGCGTTGGTGCGCCTTCAACCGGGGAGACAGGGTGCGGCCGCGGGAAGGTCAGAAATAGGAGATGGAGGTTTCCCCAAGGCTGTTAAGCAGCCTTCTTCCCTTCTAAGCTTTTCCCCAAATGGTCCACCTCCGAGGCAGTGGCGAGAGGCCAGGCCCCTGAAGGTCCCAGAGACGCACAGTTCCTGGGAGGAGGAGCATGCGACAAGCTCCGCCCCACCCTCCCATCCACTTTGTAGGGTTCTCTCCATCGGGACTGAGATTCCCCACGAAAGCCCCAGACGGAGGGAACGGAGAGTCACGTGGCTTTCCAAGACTTGCTGGATTCCAGGTCACGGCCCAGATTCCCACATCACGGCCAGGATGATGCGAACTTGAGGCGGCACCCACGATCACTGCTGTAGCTCAGAAGAGCTTGGATTTATTCAATCACTCACAAATGGGGAAAAGCGGGGCTTTGGAAGGGACCCATAGTTACGGAATCAGAGATAGTACGGCCCAGTGCCACGTTTCCCAACCTTGGCACCGTGGCACTTCGGTGGCTAATTCTTGGTTGAGAGGGGCTGTTGAGCAGCATCGCTGGCCTCTATCCACTAGATGCCAGTGGAACACCTCCGCAAGTTCTGACAACCAAAACTGTCTCCAGACGTTGCCAAAGGTCCCCTGGGGGACAAAGCTGCCCCCAGTTGAGAACCACAGGCCTAGTGGTTCAGAGACATTGTAGATAGATGCCCTGGGCTTCAGACCCCACTCTCCTGCTGACCAGCCTGACCTGGCAACTCTCCCACACTCCTGAGACTCAGTTTCCTCAAGTGCTTGCTTGGAAGCCCCATCCTGCCAATTTACTGAGCTCTGATCAGAACCAACTGGATTGTGGGGATAATGCTTCGAAGTGCAAACGTGGTGACTCTCCGGGAATGTTAAGATGTTGGGAGAAAGACGGCTGGTGAGTCAGACACTGGGGCCGCTGGCAGCTGCTCAGCCACGTGGATGGGGGCTTGGTGAGGGATGAGGGCTCTGGACGCCCCCAGCAGCCGCCGCAAACGAATTCCCTGCATCATGCCTTGTATATCCGTCCAGAGTCATCCCCAAGGCTGAAGGGTCTCAAACCTCCTCCCGGGAGGCGGGAAGTCAGCACAAAGGCCCCAGAAGAAGGCGATGGGCCTCACCAACCATTTGGATGGAGCGGTCTGGGTGGGTGCCAGTCGCCACCGTGGTCAAAAAGTAGGTGCAGGAGACGTCCCAGCAACTGTGCAGGTTGTCCAGCCTCTTCAGGGCTTTCTCTGCTTTCATTTTCCAGCTTGATAAAAACTTGACTTTTACAGTGACTCAGAACAAACAATGCAGACATATTCCAAAATTTACGCAATTTTGTGTACTTCTGACCATTTAATTATGCTCCTGCTAGTTACCAGTTCTCGCTCTGGGGGAATCTTTCCTCTTCTTCTATCACTACGGCTAGCATTGTTTTGTCCCCTGCTACCTCCCACCTCCTGAATGTTAGCTCTCCACTATTTACCCTGTGGCCTCGGCTGCCCTCTCCCAAATTAGTCCCGATCGGATGCTCTCTGAAGCCTCTCACTGCTGGGGTTCCGAGACTGCTCAATACGTGTGCATGGCTGCCCATCCCTCCCCAGGACACACACTTGAAATTCGCTCTCCAGGACCCAAACAGCTTCAGCCTCAGAGCCCCGGCCCGGGATGGACCATTCCAGAAGGCTCATCACAGAGGGCATGGTGCTGGGAGATGTAGGGTAACTCTCCAGCCCGTAGAGCCAACAGAGCTGGACCCGAATCACAGCTCCTCAGCTGTGGGTTCTCGGGCGCATGGCCCAGCCTCAGTTTTCTCAACAGAAAAATGGGACGATAATTAATGTGCACTTTTCTACACCCTCACTCCTGCTGCCAAGGGGTGATTTGAGAAGCAAATGAGATACGAACAGAGTGCACAGCACAAGGAAGATGCGCAACAAATGGCAGCAGTAAGAATAATAATTATTAATAATATCACCACTAATAATGAAGGGAGGTCACGCTCCTGAAGAAGGAAAGTGCCATTTGTCTGCAAGGAATCAGGGAGCAGAGCAGACGCCGGCCAAGTCTCTCATCTCCAGGCAGGGGTTCCAACACATCCAACCCGTCCATTTAGAACCGGCTGGAAAATGGCCTGTTGCTGCTCCAGCCGAGTGATACTCGTCTGCCCTCCCTGGGATCCTGGGGGATTCCTGAAAAGAGATGGAATCGTCTCTCTAGGGGGTAGAGAGGGGCAGAGGAGTCTCATTTGCCTCTTGACCTCCTTGAAAAGCAGAGGGACACCTCCTTGAAAAGCAGAGGGACAGCAGTGACATGGCAGGCACTGACAGAACCATCACCTTGCCCAGAACCCTACGGGGGCAGAACCCCTTAGGACATGCCTGCTAAAGTGTCCTCTCCTTCAAGGCTCCAGCGACGGTGACTCCAGCCTCATAAAGCAGGTGGTGCTCTGCTTAGGGAAGTGTCCCACACGCAAACACACAGAGGTGTGGGACACTGACGGCTCGCAGAGGGGAAATGGGGGGGGCACGAGGAAGGGCAAGCACAGACAACATTCCAGCAAATGCAGGACTCTTTCTCTGAGGAGCGGCTACTGAAAGAGGCAGCCCTCCGTCCTCAGCACTGACTCGACAAGTCAAGGTGGGCTCTGGGGCCGGCCTCATCCAGGAGAAGCCAGAACGGGAGCCCCAGGCTTGGTCCAAGAGAGGAGGATCCATCCCCCGCCCCCAACCCCAGCTCGGGAGAGCCTGGAGGCTCAGGCTGGGGCCCAACCTGCAACACGGACCGTCCCACGACACTCCTCAGCAATTCCTGCTGCAGGAGCCTCACTCCTCGTGTGGGTCCCTCTGGGGCTCCAGGTCTAAACCGGGGCCCTTTTCCATGGGTCCCGAGACAGCTGGTCTCTGGGAACTTCTCTGGCCATACAAAGAGACTTGTGCTTAACTTTAAAGAGGTGGGCAGGGGACAGGAACCACTACCCCTGAAGCCTGGGCAGAGAGAGGGCCCTGGGCAGGGGGATGGCTGTGCCTCATTCGAGGATGGTCAGATTTCCATCTGTGGAAGCCAGAGCCGGCCCAGGCTACACCATGACGTGGGACCCTGGGAAATGGCTTCTGTAGACCCAGGGCCTGGTTTAAATGTGCCCAGAGGTTCTATCCAGCCACTGAAGGCCTAACTTTAGAGCTGGAAGATTTGGGTTCAAATCCCAGCTTGTCACTTTCATGCTGTGTGGCCTTGGGCAGGTTACTTCATTCCTCTGCGCTTCTGGTTCCTTATCTGTGTATTGGAGCAATGATGCTGTAATGTAACATAAGGATTAAACATATGCGTGTGAATCTAGCACAGGGCTTGAACACAATACTCAGGCAATGATGTCAGAGCTCTTGTCCTTTACCTGACATCCAAGACAGAACCCCAACTGAGGCAGGAGGGAGGGTGCAGCACACTCTTTGGCTGGAAATCTAGCGTGCACATCTATCCTCATTGTTATCCGAGCGACGGTGGAAAAAAAATAGGTAAAAACACAATAGGTGATTGAGGTGGAGTGACCCTGAGCAAGTCACTGTGCTATGTATGGTGAAGAGTTTGGACAAGACGGTCCCTAAAGCTTCTGACCATCTATGGCCCAGACACCGAAAAGAGGAAAGGCTTAAAAGTTGAATTCAATTGACATTTACGTCAGGGGTAAAAAAAAGAAAACTTCATGGGGGACATCTCTGTGTTCAGAGGTACCCAGCCAACTTGGGGCCCACCAGGGCTGCCATGGGAGGCGGGGGCCTCCTCAGAGCTAGAGCCATCCTTTTCTCTCCTCCCCTCATCACAGCAAACAGAACCCTCCCTCCCACCGCATCTCGACAGGCCATTTGGGAACAGGCAGCTGCCACCTGCCTCTACAAGGCTGCAGGCTCCCCGGGGGAGGTGGGGTCAGAAGGTGAAGAATCAGAGAGTATGTGGGCTGGGGTGACGCCCATGAAGACACCGGGTGACGCCCATGAAGACACCAAGTATGGCCTTGTCTCCTTACCCTGGCTCTGGACCTCCCTTCTTGGGTTTTCTCATGAAGACAGCTGTCTAAGAAAGACCTTGCTCACGGGGCAGACACCAGGGCTCGATGGAGAGCAGTTTGCTGGAGAAGCGGCTGGGAAGATGTGCACGCAATGGCTGACTACCCAGCCCAGCCTCCGGGCTGGTCCTGCAGAGAGCAGGGCCCCGTCAGTGATTCCAGAAGGAGTCCAGGCAGAAGATCCCTCATTCCTTCTCCATCTCTGTGCTCACGACCTCCACTTGAGCTGAAGCATTGGTGGGTGGATGCCTGGCTTCAGTGACAGATGTGGCCATTAAGAGCTGGCGGCAGTCAGCCGGCGCTGTCTGGAGGTTGGCTGGTAATCCTGTTATCACGGCAGCTCAGCGCCACCTCCCAGAGATGAGTGGCTGCCTCTGGACAATTGAGATGTCCCTTCGCATGTCATCAAGACACTCATTTCTCCTGAGGCCACAGGGACAAATTCAGCCTTTTTGCAATTGTCTCCAAACATGCACCAGGGCTTCTGAATCTGTCTTTTAAGTTTCTCAACCAGAGAGGGGAGGTCTATGCCATTTACTTTTCTTTCCTACAATTCAGAGAGAACGCAGGGAGAGAGCCACACCTGGCCTGCAGGAGAGCGAGCCCGTGGCTGAGCTCCACCCACTCGTCTGGGCGCAGGGAGCTGCTTGGGAAGGGGGTACTGTGCAATGAGCTTTCCTAAGGACGGAAGAAGAGTGAGCCCTTCCCATACGGCTCCCCGGGCACACCCCTTCCCACTCTGGTCTTCATCTGGGGGCCCCTGTTAGCCAGGCCCCCAGACACTGACTTTATATTGAAACTGACTTGGACAGAGCACGTTCTCAACTGCAAGAGAGCACGGAAGCCAAACCCAGTTTAAAATGCAGCTGTCTGGACGCCCCACCCACCTTGCACACAGCTTCAAGACCCTCTGGATATTCTCCCTGAGGCAGCCGGGTAGGCAAGAATCGGCTCAGGGGAGCACTTAGCTGGACGGAGAGAGCCCTTCACTCCGAGCTGAGAGTCAGGACACGTCCCTTCCAATCGACCCCTCCATCAACTTGCTGTGTGACCACAGGCAAACCACGCCCCTTCCACTCCCATCCCTCAAACGATTAGGCGGACGGGAGCCTTCTTCCGCTGTAGAAGGCTGTGTTCTCTCAGAGAAGACCACCTTCCCATGGGTGGTCTGGAGAGCGAACTGCCTGGCAGATCTGATTCTTAAATGCGTCTTCTCTTTTTAAAAAGAGAAAGTCCATCCAGCAGATAAAAACCACCACCGCCAGCAGCCGGAAGTCCCTCTGCAGCACCAGCCATCACGCCATCTTTGGGTTTCCTGATCATTTGGGGTCTCATAAGGAGTCAGGTTCTGGTGACAAGGTGCCCTTTCCAAGTCAAACTAGGAACCATCAATGGCCATTCAAGTGACGGCCATCAATATTTCAGGGGGCTGCGTGGGAAAGCAAGATTGGGGTGGGAACACTGAAGTTTGGAGGGCTGCTCCTGCCCCGGCACCCCACACGCCAGGTGTGATAAGTCTGCATAAAAACAAGACACATAAGTGATTATTTACTGCCAGCAATGCATCGTCCAACCATGTCTGTATTTTAAACCTAACTGGCTGCGCCTTCTGGTCTCAAGTTCTCGGAATGGAGTTTCAAGAATTCTCCAGTCTGTTCCTTGAAGACTTTGCCCCGTCACGCCTCCGGGGGCTGGAAGCCCATGCTCCCATGTTTTCTGGATCAGCTTGACCACAGCATGGAATATTTGAAACCAGGGCTGCCTGGGGAAATTCCGGACGCATAGTCGCTGCGCCTGGTTCTAGAACGTGGGCACAGCCAAAGGCCAAGAGCGATGGTGCCCGTGGGACGCCTCGCCCCGCTGTGAGCCCAGCATAGGGTGAGCCGTCCTGGAGCTCCAGGGCACTCTGTCCCTCAGAAGGTGAAGGCGTACACCACCCCCACCACCACAATGTTCCCCAGCGTCGCTATGATGGCAATCCAGAGCAAGACGGCGTCGTTGGAGGACCGCGGAGGCTCCTCCGGCTGGCCTGGGCCGTTGGAGGCTGCATGGACGTTGGTGGAGGAGTTAAAGAGGGAGTACTCGGTGCTGAAGTCCTCATTGGGCGAGTCCATGAAGGCTCCTCCCATCATGGGCAGCTGTGAAGAAGGAGAGAGAATTAACCAGGGCCCACGGGGGCTTGGAAAGAGCTGCCCCCCAGAGGGACATCTGCCTGGTCATGCACCTCCATGCGAAGATACACAGCATCTCGCAGGGCTCCCCTTTTGCTTTTGAAATAATTGACAGTGTGTATTTTAATCTATAAAAATTGGTGCTCACAGCAACCTGTTGAGGCACACACTCTCACGCCCACTTTGCGGATGCAAACATCACACAGAGCAGCTCAGCATCTCACCGATGGCGACTTGCAACTCGTTGGGAGGTACAGACCTTCCCTTTCTAAAGGCCAGGCCCCTCCCGGACAGCACGGGGTGTAAAATGTCTCTATTCCTCTTCTAATTTTAAAAGTAATATATGCTCGGCATCGAACATTAAGAACATATAAAAGAGGACCAAAAAAAGAGAGAATCATAACCTTACCGCTTCGGGACAATCAGTTAACATTTTGACACTTTTCTTTACGGTCTTTTTTTCTGTGCGTGTGTGTGTGACAGAGAAAGAGAGAATATGTTTAAACACGTGGTCTGGACCCAGCCCTGTGGCCAAGTGGTTAAGTTCTCCTGTCCCGCTTTGGCAGCTCAGGGTTTCGCTGGTTCGGATCCAGGGCACGGACATGGCACCGCTTGCTCATCAGGCCATGCTGAGGTGGTGTCCCACACAGCACAACTAGAAGGACCTATAACTAGAATATACAACTATGTACCGGGGGGCTTTGGGGAGAAAAAGAAGAAAATTTTAAAAAAGAGAAGATTGGCAACAGATGTTAGCTCAAGTGCCAAGCCTTTTATTTTTTTTAAGATAACAACTGTTGCCAAAAAGTTCCTCTTTTTCTTTCTTCCTGCTTCTTCTCCCCAAATCCCCCCAGCACATAGTTTTACATGCTAGTTGTGATTGCCTCTGGTTGTGGCACATGAGACGCTGCCTCAGCGTGGCCTGATGAGCAATGCCATGTCCGCGTCCAGGATCCAAACCAGTGAAACCCTGGGCCACTGAAGCAGAGTGAGTGAACTTAACCACTCGGCCATGGGACCAGCCCCTCAGGTGCCAATCTTTTTTAAAAAAAAGAGAAAAATGTGGTTTTATACTCCTGTATAAGAAGCCCATCGAAGTACCATTTTGATAGTTGTATAATATTCTATCATAAGTACAAGCCACAATTTAACCATCCTCCTAGAACTGAGATTTAGGAATTTCGATGTTTTCCTATTATGAAGAATGCACTGAGAAGCATCCTTGAACATACATCTGGGTGTACACACACGCTTGCACGTGCATTTGCAGTTATTGGAGCAGACTCCCAGGCACAGAACTTCCGAGTGAACGGTATGAACATTTCGGAGCCTCTGGTGCCCGGGGACACCCTCCCAGAAGAGTGATTCTAGTCCCCGAGGCCTTGACAGCCGCACAGAAGGATGCTGGCATCCCTCTTCCCATGGCAAAGGCTCTTTCCTGCTGAGACTCCGGGTGGGCTGCCCGTAGGGAGGCCGTGACCCTGGATACAGCCCTGAAGGGTCTGCTCCAGCTCAGGAGACCAATGTCCAGGCCATCCAGGCCCTTCCACACCCCTCCAGGGGCTGATGTGCCTGAAGGCGCAGCGTTGCCTCTGGCATCTAGGAGGCCCATAGTCATGTTTGCTTTGAATGGCGCCTGAAAGAACGAAGACGGAAGAGTTAAGCCTTCCTTCAATACGCATTATTGAGGGCTACTGCTTCTGCCAGCACCGAGGCCCTGCTACGGGCAGCGAATGTGCTACAGATTTTAAAATACTCTCATTTAATCACTCTACTATCCTGCTGGAGGGGACCACTATATCTCCACTTTACAGATGGGTAACCAGAGGTCAAGGCCACAGCCCTAATGCGTGGTGGAGTCAGGGCTGAGAACCAGGGGCGTCTCGCCTGTGGAGCTCTGCCCATAGCCACCCCGACTCTGGGGTCAGACTTGAATTGGGCCCTGGAGATGTAATGGTCACTGCCCCCAGGAGGCATGCGCCAGCTGGAAGATGCGGACTGCACGGTGGATTATAGGAATGAGGGCCACATCACTCAGCCACTCGTCTGACAAATACATATAAGGACATATCGACTGGGTGTCACGGTTCTAGACTCTGGATACAGTGGTGAGCAAGACAGACAAGGCTTGTCCTTTCAGGGGGCCTGCCCTCTATCCAGTTGGGGGTGAGAGCAAGGAAGGAGGAAGGAGAGGAGTGAAAAAGACAGGGAGGGAGGGATAGAGGGAAGGAAAAAAAGGAAGAACATCTGATGGGAATACGAACCATCAGAAAATTAACCCAGGGAGGCGCCACCATGGCTGAGGGGTGAGTTTCAGGCAGCTCTATGCTTGGCCGGCCCCCCGGAATCTTAGGGGCCTCTTTTTAAAGGATGCCCATGACTGGGTCAACAGGTGGCTTGGGAGCACCTGCTTGGGTTGAGAAGGACAGCCATTGATGGGTCAAGCTCAGCGTTTCATCCATAACACAGCTCTGTCCTTTAGGTGGGGACCTGGCTGTTGCCAACCTGGGGGTGTAGTGGAAAAGCCACTATTGGGAGCGCAGGACAGGCCACGTGCCGATGCCTGATGGCAGCTGCTGGGTACAGGGGATGTGTTCACGTTGTGAGAATTCATGAAGGGCCACATTTACATGTGTTTTTCTTACGTGTCTGTTCTGGTATAATAGTATAGTAAATCAATATGTTGAATTAAATAAACATGTCTAGTATCTATTAATAAATACAATGACAAACCCAAATGAGAATAACAATATATATTCTATTAAAATACAATTCAAAGTTCAAATAAAAGGACCGTGACCTCATTTTGTCCCCAAGCTGGTGATGCAGATGAGGTGGGTTACAGATGGATCAGGCCATTTTGGCCTAAGGGGGCCGAGGGCCACGGGGCTGGGCAGTGAGCCTCTGGTCTGCAGGGAGGGGCCTGGGCATTCCCATTAAACCTACTCGTCCTTCAGATCTCAGCCAATGGGCTTGTCCACTATAGCCATCTCTCCTGCATGCCCCCAAGACCAAGTCCTCTCCTTGGGGGCACCCATCGCAAGCCACAGGTCCGTCTGCTTCCCCCAGTGGCCTAGAAGCTCTGTGATAGGGGAGCGGATCTGTTTATTCTCATCACTGAATTGCTGGAGCCCTGCACAGGTCTGCCACACAGCGGTGCCTAATACCTATTGACTGACGGACGAACGACAGCCACTCTCTCCTTGGACAAACAACAGTCACTCCTACGTTGGCTGATTCGGCCTCCCCAGTATCTCCCCGCTCAGTCCCTTGGCGCTCCAGCCCCATTCTGCCGGCCTTGCCTCATAGGGGTGCTGCCCTTCTCCAGGCTAACTCAGCAGTGTCTTCCCCTGACGCGCCCGCGATGGAAGCATGACTCAGGTGGGGCCACCGACACTATTAGTCTGTGGCCTCTTAGAAAGCGGGGCTCAGGCCAGGGGAGGAAGCTGCGCTTTCCTGCTCCTGAACGCGCCTGGAGTTCACCGCGCCTGGACTCCGAGGGTTGTTCCACAGCCGCCTCCCCGGCGCCCCCTTCTGGACTCCCCAGAATGAGCCCCTAATCCTGTCCTGTGCCCGCGGCTGCCTCTCAGTCCTCCTCCTTGGCCCGGGCTTTCAGACGGAGGCCCTCCCGACTCCGAGTGTGCGAGCTGATCCACTCCTCCATCCTGCTGAGACCTGGGGGCGCCTGTCCCTCCCTCTCCTTCCTGCAGGGCACGTGTGGGTTTGATGAATATGTTATCCAACTGCTTAAGCTCAAATGAGCGAATCAGGAACCCGGCATTTCCAGTCGTGGGCTTTTGTTCCATCCACATCAGATACCCATTTGCAGTTGTAACAGACAACCCCCCCAACGACCCCCCCGAATTATGTTGAGGCCAAGAGATGCCCCAAGCCCGGCCAGCACTGTGCTCAATCCGTCTGTCTCAGGTTTGTTGGTTTTGACGGGTTTTTTCCTTCGTAAAACAGATCATACATTCAGAGCGACAGCTTAGACATGAAAATAACTTTCAATGGCAAAATCTCATGAACGGAAAGCCAAAAAAGGCCAGCCTCCATTCCATCATTCGTGAGTTGGGAAGATCTGATTAGGAGCTGACCCAGGATCAGAATGAAGGAGCATCAGCTGAAGTCACCTCAGAAGCAGGTAGTGAGAGAAGCATCTGGAAAGTCTTTCTGAAAGGCCCTCCAGCCAGCCCTGTCTAATCTTAAGCCACTTTGGAAGATGCCCTCCAGGTGGCAACTGGGTCTTGTCACACCAGTGGGCAGGTGCGATCACTGGGAGTGGATTCCTGAGGATGGAATCCTTGGCTGCGGCTTTGGCTCAGAGCAGCCGTGGGGGTGAGAGTCCTAACCTCAAACGCCGGAAGGGCTAACGTGCAGAAGAGAGTGTGGCCCAAGGAGGCGAACAAGAAACCCAGTTTCCTCTTGCTGAGTTAAGACACTAACAATCAGAAAGACACGGGGTTGGCAGGGGGTGGGGGGTGGGGGGCTCGTTTCCCCATCAGAGGAGATGTCATGTCAAGATCAGAATAACACTTGTTGGCTTGTTGAAGAGGGGACAGTGGGACAGAGTGGACCAACCGTAGATGTGCACGGTGTTACCTGTGAAGGCTGTGCCTCCCGCCCACACCTCCAGGAAGGCGGAGACCTTCCCTGTTGCCCCCGGCGTCCAGTGCCTAGAACATGGCAGACACTCACAGGAGACCTGGTGACAAAACAACCAATTCTAGGACCATCAGCCAAGAAGCCTGAGGGCATGCTGCGATTTGGCCCAGGAGCCAACGTCTCCTCGCTGTGTGATCCAGGGCCATTTCTAGGTTACTCTCTGAGGCTCAGGTTTCTCATTTAAAAACAGGGAAAATAATAAAACCTGCCTGAGAGCAGGGAGCTGCCAGGAGGCGCTCATCCTGGGTGAAAATTGCTTTCAGGGGTGAGGATGGGGGGATGGTAGGTCACAAAATAAACTC